GAAAAGGTTAACTTTAACCACGAAACCAGATCGGCCGACCTGTAACGTTACACTCTCACTCAAAGGATGGAGGATCTGACAGGATTGTTACTATGAGACAAACTCACCGTGTCTATCGAGTCATGATGAAGATGCATTTCAATTTCAGCAGGCAAATGTTTTTACAGCTACATTATTGTTCCAGCCACAATTAATCACAACAATGTAGATACAATTACAAATGATTATATATAAATCATCAGTTTGTTGTTTTACACACATGCACACAGACATTATTTCATACAGATGCAAGAAACGTAGACAAATGGCAAGAAATCTGTAGACGCGTCCATAACAAAAGACAATACTTTATTGAACCTTTTCTGATAAGAAGTGTGTGCTGCAAACGCGAGCATTTTTGACGATCGTTTCTGTCCAGTCCGCTCGTTTTATCGCGTTTAACCACAGCTGTCGTCGGTTTTTTTGTCTGGCAGTGGCAGCAGATATGCGATCAAATTTCTAATTTGAGGCTGTATTACGTCGATTCTGGCACCCAGCATCACAACAAGATGATATTTTAAGCTCCTTATGTAGCTGAACCTGCGCTGGTTTGAATGGGCCGCCTCCAGTTTCCCCTTTGTTTTGCTGCCTCCAGCTAGCGCTGTGACGTCGCTGACCCTAGTTACCTGTGGTTGGCCTGGCCGTGCGTCACTCAGAAAACAACAGGCCAATCAGAAGAGAGGCTCATGAATATTAATTAGACAGACCAAAATCGACCCGTTCTCAGCAGAGCTCCTGAGACAGGAGCTGTACAAATATATTGAGATGGTTTTTGGTACTTGTACCGCAAATATATATTCTTAAGGACATCAAAACCTAAAGTAAAACTCCAGAAAGGTGTACAATATTTGACCTTTAACGTGACATTACTGGAAATAATTACTTGCATTTAATAGAGTCAGATGGTAAATTTAAGAATTCGTTCAGTTACAGACTCCGACTTGAGGTGTTAATCTTTTTTATTTATTTTTTTATTCAATAAAAAGACAAATTTGATCTTCAGGTGAAAAAGACCATCTTTTCTCCGAGGCATGCCAGACTTCGCTCGTCATTTAGTCCACTTAAACCTGCCCGGCAACAGTCGACTGCTACCTCACATTCACACTTCAGTTTCGTTGCAACCGTAAATGTTCACGATTGCTAAGCAACTTCAATTCATTTGATGGTGTATATATCATGTATTTTTCAATGCACATAGCTCCTTTATCAGATTTTTCAAGTTATAATGTTACTTTCCTGTTTTGAGGTTGTTATTGTTTGTTCAAGCCGTTATTAGACCTTAATTCGAGTTAATTTTATTTTAGAGAAAATATGATGTAGTAAAACAATAAATTGACTGAATTACCCTAAAAAAATTGCAGTACCATATAGTTGTTTAATATAAACCGTTCTTTGTGATTTGCTGGAACTAAGATTTCAGTCCTACTGCCAACCCCTAAGCAATGCTCAATATTAGTTTGTGCTCTTTGTCAACTTTGTGTCTTCTGTCTCTTATTCTGAACTGTTCTGCTTGGTTATATTGCATATAGCTGTATATATGTAATCCACTGCTCATACTACGCAAACAAAGCATTTCTTAAAGGGATAGTTCACCCAAAAAGTATAATTGTTCCAGCTATGTGGGTAATCAAATCATTTCTGGTCTCCATTGACTTCAGTGATATTTTGTTTTCCATACTATGGAGGTCAGTGGGGACCATCAACTTGTTTGGTTACTACATTCTTCAAAATTATGTTTAGCAGAAGAAAGCAACTCGTACAACTTGAGGGTGAGTGAATGATGATACAGTTTTAATTTTTTGGGTGAACTATCCCTTTAAGCCTGGGTTCTCACAGTCATTGTTCATGTACATATTTCATCCTCAGCTATTTTTGTACTTTTCTGTTTTTTCATCCCTCAATAGAATCCCCTTTCTAGCTCCTCTTCCTTCCCCTCTAACAAACGGAGTGCTTTCCTATAGGCTAAACTTCCCTGTCCAGCAGGTGTCTTCCTGTTAGCAGTGTTGGCAGATGATCTGATTGGTTCAGTGGGTGGCCCTTTCCTTCACCCTGATCTCAGCTTTGAATTGTTGCCCCTATTACTATTAAACAGCCCCTGTCCCTTTCAGGCCGTGGTGGCTCACGTGGGGCCAGAGGAGGGGGACGTGACTCCAGAGACGACTTCGACCAGTCTGGAGGAGGTGCGAAGTGTGAATTGGGCAAGAACCCGAACTCTTGGGGTGTTGGCTCTAGATAATAATTTGAGCAAAAAGTCTGAAGACACATCTGTGCTATATGACCACAGACATTCCTCTCTTTGTAAAAATGAACAGAAAACATGTTTGCAATAAATATACTCAGTGAAAGCGTAGTAAGCAAGGGATGTGAAGAAAATGAAAACGTTTTAGGACAAGATTTTCATTACTTCATTGGCAGTGAATATTTTTTTCTTTTACAAAAAACATAATGAATAAATATATCAATACTGTAAATAAATGGAATTATTATTATTGCTAATATTGACATTATGATTGTGATATTTTCATTACCGAGTATGCACTGTAAAGTTATGCAGTAGTGGAAGTCATTCTCATCACATTAATTTAAAATCAGCATATGTTCAAAACACAATCCCATGATGTGTACATAAAATTAAGTAGAATTAGTTTTTTTTCATGCAATGGAGAAAAATCATAATGGACATTCGTTGGCTTCTTTTTCAACATGCAAATGTAGCTGCATATTATTGATTTTGGGGTGAAACATAATTGACATTACTTTATTTTTGTGACATTCACCCTGTTACAGTAAATGTTTTTCATTCATTTTTATAAACTGAGGAAGTAGTCAAAATAGTGCTTGAAACCTTGTTGAAAATAACCCAGAATATTCCATTAAAACAGAGTCGCAGGACTTTATCAGCAGTGATTTTGCATATTTATGTTTTGGCTTTTTCATATATTTTAAGTTGATCTCTCAGGGACTCCATCTCATTGCCATCAGTCATGTTGCCAGCAGAGTCTCCCTGCTGCTCTGCAGTCAGATTTCCTCTCAAATTGAAGTTGCCTATAAACACTGATCTGGGATCAGACTTAATATTGTCTTGCAAATCTTAAGCATTATGATATATTGCCCAGAGCCAATCCTGGATCAGTATTTTGGTACAACTTTGCAGTCGAGTGGGAGAATGATGGACCAGTTACTCACACGCTTCCTTTTTCCACAGGATTTAGAGATGAGGACTTCATGGGTGGGAGGAGTCGAGGAGGTGGTCGCCCTGCCGAAAGAAGGGGTGGCGGAGGTGGAGGTGGAGGTGGAGGTGGAGGCGGAGGCGGAGGCGGCATGGGACGCTTCAGAGATGGACCTCCTCGAGGAGGCCAGACAGACTTCAGAGAACCCTCTGACGGTGTCACACATTTATTCATGCTGAAAAAAGATACCTTTATATATGTGCTTCAAAGTCAACGTGAAATCTCAATACACGTTCTTGCTCAAACCTCTTCAGTGCAAGTAAATCACTCGCATATGCTGAAAAAGTTCCAGTATAGGCGACTAAATGTTTAATGTTAGCCGTTGGCTACTAAACTGATAGATTTCACTTGCTAGTCTTTGAGTTAAGCCCAAAGTGTACTTCGTTGTTTGTGTACACGAGGGTCGGCGTACAGTACGCATTTCAACTCCAGAATAGTATGCACCGCCCAATTTTTGTAACCGCGCATACTCTGTACAAGCAGGTTGTGCATGCGCATTGAATTTGTTTTGCACTAATCAGTTGTTCCACAAGGTCCAGGCTGTTGTTTCACAGTAGAAAACCAAACTAAAGAGACGGGCCAACAACAAATTATCAGAGTCTGCAGCAACAACAGACGGCCGCACTGATGAGTGCTTGTGTGAGTGGGTTATGAGAGAGCTGCAGCTTTAGATTGCAAGATTACGAAGATATTTTTATTGGTTACAACTTCTAAAGAAAAATAGAGCTTTCTGGAGCTCTTGAGTCGACCGCCTGTGTTCACGCACGCTATCAAATGAAGTATACTATGAAAGGCTACGCACTTGTCTGAAAGCATATAAAAACGAAGTATACTGTACGTTTTTCATTCACCTGCACTTGAACACTCTGACTGGGCACTTAAAAGTTTCACTCTGTCCTTATAGAGTCTTACATACCCTTCAAAATAACTGAGCTCGTTCAAAATGTAGTCTTTTCAAGAGCTATCAGAAGCCACTGCCGGCCAGTTCTTTTGGTACATTGTATAGTTATATAGAATCAGTAGTAGGGCTGTCAAAATGGCTGAAAAACTAAATTTGAATTTTGTACTTAAATATTATAAAAATTCAAATTTAAAATGCATAATTTCAGTTAGGGTGAAGAAAAGCTTTTCGTTCTCTTCTGAGGCCACAAGAGGGCGCATCGAGCAAAATATTACCAATGCACGTTTATTCAAAGCATAAGATAACATGACTATCTGAAAATTGCATGCTGTTTATAAACCAATTGTAATGAAGTTGCCTAAACCATTATAAACAAAACAGCATCATGTATGTATGCATAGTTTAATACAAAGGGCAGAAAGCCAATCACACGGAGTACATTTTTCATTTAAAAACATGAGATGCAGTGGGATGGGGGAAAAAAACACGCCATAAAGTGGTTTTTTTTTTTTTTTTTTTCAAAGTTAAACTTGCATTAAAGTTACATGGCTTTATAAACATGTGGCTCCTTTGTGCTACACGTGAGTGTAACTGTGATAGATGTCCCTCTAGAAAATGCGTGAAATGTGTTCTGTGTGTACAGCTTGCTTTCAGTTTTGATGTAAACAAGATCTGCTCCGCATTGATGTTCTCTTTTTCTGCAATATTTTTAATGAACAACGCAGCAGCGCCACATCTAGTGGCTTCAACTGGATAGGCTAACAAAAACATTATAATGCAACGACACTTACATCGTCATCTCATCTCATGCGCCACTGATAAGGTGGCCTAACGCACGCCTAAAATTGGAATGCAGTGGTTTTGCATTCGAATGTGGATTTTTATTTTTTAATTCATAAAAAAAAATTTGGACAGCCCTAATTAGTAGTAGTATTTTAATAGTATTATTGTTGTTGTTTTACAGAAACACTGATTGAAACACTTATCAGCACATTAGTTCTAACAAAGGAAATGCTGATAATTTTTTTTTTTGTTGTGCTTTCAAATCATATCATATGTGAATGTATCTTTGTAAAAAGCTGCCATTTATATTAAAAATGTATTAGCCAATGGCGATTCTGTTGCCAAGGTGTGTGTAGAGGGTTGGTTTTGTGGTTGTGGACAATTCATTATTTCAAAGGGGGGAAAAAACCTTTGCAATGTTTGCCCAGCACATTAGTCCTAACAAAGGAAATGCTGATAATTTTTTTTTTTGTTGTGCTTTCAAATCATATCATATGTGAATGTATCTTTGTAAAAAGCTGCCATTTATATTAAAAATGTATTAGCCAATGGCGATTCTGTTGCCAAGGTGTGTAGAGGGTTGGTTTTGTGGTTGTGGACAATTCATTATTTCAAAGGGGGGAAAAAACCTTTGCAATGTTTGCCATATCGGTTCTCTATGTTAGTGTATGGATGCAGCAAAATTCTGGCCAATAATTAATGTTAACCCTAAGCCAAATGACTATTTGGGTATTGTTTTAGGATAAAATGCAACTGAAATAGTCTATTATTTAAATGAATATGTTATAATTTAATGCCAAATAAGAAATGGATTCAGTTAGAGGCTAATATATAAATACGACTTTTTTTGTTTTGTTTTTTGATCCAGTCAATTCCCAATTGACTAAATAGGTTTGCAGATACCATTTCACGTTGACTTTAAGTTGTTTGACACTTGCATAAATTCTACAATAACATCTAATGTCTCGATTTCTCATTTTTTCCGCAGAGGAAAGAGCGCAGAGACCAAGGCTACAGCTGAAGCCGCGTACAGTGGCAGCTCCCCTTAACCAAGTGGCCAACCCCAACTCGGCCATCTTTGGGGGTGCCAAACCCAGGGAGGAGGTAATTCCCAAAGACAAACACTAAGAGACTGCCGCCTCCCTCGGCGCTCCAAAAGGAAGCAAGGAAGGGAGGGAGGAGAGAAAGAAAGGGAGGGATATTCGGGGAGGGATGGGTGAGGTCCGGGGGTGACAAACGACGACGAAAAAACGTATCATGCCAACGGGAATGCGATAAGGCCTCTGTCGTCATTCCTTCCTGTTAGAGATGAACGGAGTCCCTGCAATTCAGATCGCGCGACTATACCGTATATTTATTCAGTGGAAAAAAAAATCTACAATAAGACCACACACCCACATCGATCGATCGTTATGACACTTGCACACACCAACGAGCAGCTCGTGAATGCATGGCAAAACTGTTTAACAATGGTTTTATGTCCACCTTTGCTTCCCTGTAATTAGTGCCTGCTCTTTACTGTAGTTTTCGTCAGGGGAAAGTTCTTTCACATCCTTGGTGAGATCCGAAAGGTTTTTTTCCTTTTCCTTTTTTGGAGCTGCTCTCTTAAATGGAATGGAAACGGATTTTAAATGGTTTTGTTTGTGTTTTTGTAGCTGTAGACTAAACTACACACGCCAAGCCCTTTTATCATGCGCATAATGACGACACTGATTTGGTTTGTGCGCTTTTCTCGCGGGGCAGCTAGCTAGCGTTTCGACAGTTGACATTCATGATAGCATTCACGAAAAGCAGTATTAGGTTTATTGGATTTGAACTGCCATCGTTTTGTATTTTGCTCTTTGGATTTTTGATGGACTGCATCTATGAAGATTTTTCTCTTTGGTGTGATTTCCAGCAATGGCACGAGCTCCCTCACGATTTCAGCCGATTCACGTATACGCAACCCTTCGAACGCACACTGGATTGTACATGTGGTGCTTGTCCTCTCCCTAGTCCTCACGGTGCGTGTAAATTGGCGCGTTAAAGCACAACGTAGTCCAGCTGTACAGTCAGTGTTCGGTTTCGGAGAACTTGGTAGATCTCCAACCCAGCGCAATCTTCCCGTTTGTGTTGAATCGATTCTGCTATTGCTTTGTCAGAATGTTCATGTGCAAATTTCACCGACTCCTACAATGGACCCTGTGTAACCATCTTGTTCTTGTTTTATGTTTCCGTTCTCTAAAGAATTAGTATCTGTGTCAGTGTGGCTGCATTATTCCGGAAGGCTATACTGGATTCTACTGGCTTTGATCACCATAAAATCTTTCAAAGACTTCAGTGACACGCAGGCAGGGGCACGAGGTGCTGGTCTTCTCTTGAATCTGAACGAGCCCTCATCCGATTGGCTTAAAAAGCAAGTGGAGGTGGGGGCTCTAGAAAGGGGGAGGGGCACAGTCTTAACTCCGCCTCTGCCTGTCCTCGCTGGCTCCTCCCACACGCCTCAAAGAACCAAAACTTGGAGGATGACATCTCCAGGTTGAATGCGTTTAAGGACTTCAGCATCTCTTTCCCTTCCCAAAGTATCTTTTGTGTTTTTCCGAATTTGTAGACGCACGGACGTAATTGCCGCCGTGTCCATTTTATATTTTGCTCTTTAGATTTCTTTACTGTATTTGAAGATTAAAACGTTGAGCTTGATTCTTAATTAAACCATTTCAAAGTGAAAAGGTTTTTGAATTCTTGCCTTGTCTTTACGAAAGATTTTCCCACCCTGAGCAAATCCTGGCTCATCCAGAGCTTTCGGGAACAATGTGCCACATGTTTCATTCATTTAGAAGGGTATGCATGATAGATTTGGTTGGTGACACATGGGTCTACAGTCTACAGCGACATTCACCGCTTGACGGCAATGTATTTCTTTTCACGCGAAAAACAATAGTAGAAACTATGATCTGTAACCGCATCAGTACTGCCTTTCCATATGAAGCTAATTGAACAAAAAGGAACTGCTTACACATTCAGACACGCCGGTGACGCCAGGCGCTGCTGTAGTTTCACCGAGTGCAGAGTCCTCATGGGAAATCCTTCTCTTCACTTTTTACTGGATATAAATGAGGAAGTTAATAGAGGTCAGCTGTTTTTATTTTTGTTTTTCTTTTCATTTTCCTACACTGTTTATGGCAATAAATTGTATCATCTTAGTGTTTGAAATGAATGTGTTGACATAGGATAACGGGATGAATTTATCCTGTGTATGGTGTTTGAGTCATTTGAAGGACAAAAAAAAAATTTTGCAAAAATTCAACCTGGCAGTTGGATTCACGCCGGAGTTGTGTCGCAAGCTTCAAGAACAAGGTAACAGAACTTGTCTTATTTCTGTTGGGTTAACACGGGAAGTCTTTATTCTCAACATAGGAGACGCGTGATGAGTGATTGTTTTGCGTATGTAAAGAATAAAAGATTTGGAGAGGAGACCCTGGCTCTGGGGTGTCATGATCTACACGCAAGGAGACAGCGTTTGGGACGGTCTAGGGGGTGATTCACTCAAAAATGAAAATTGTCATAATTTATAGTCGCCCTCTGCGTGTTCCAAACCTGTGTGAGTTTCTTCCTTCTGTTGAACACAAAAGAAGGTATTTGAAGAATGTTGGTAACAGAACAGGTGACATCAGTCATCGACTGCCACAGTATGTTTATCCATTTTGTGGGTATGTGTAAATACTTACATTTGAAATCATATGAGGATTTTTCATTCAATTCTTTTTCTCACATTAATAGCAATAATGGAGCGTTTCGAATTTTCATGAAAATAATGTCTCGATGCAAATTGAGTTCTGCAAAGTACATTTTTCGCACATTGGGTTTTGGGGTGAGATATGACCTGGAAGTCTTGCAAGATCCACCGTTGGATATGTTTTTCTTTTACATGTAGGCCTACAGTGAAAGTAATGCACCTAAATAGAACAACTTTGACACTGGAGCAACATGCCTGTGGTGTGAAAGTATTCTTTCTTATTTAAATCTGTAGCGGCTTTGAGTCTCCTACAAGCTTTAGTTTGAAGTGAACGAGGAAACGGGTTTGCTTTAATATATATATACAGTGGGGCAAAAAAGTATTTAGTCAGCCACCAATTGTGCAAGTTCTCCCACTTAAAAAGATGAGAGAGGCCTGATTACATTTGAAATCATATGAGGATTTTTCATTCAATTCTTTTTCTCACATTAATAGCAATAATGGAGCGTTTCGAATTTTCGTGAAAATGTCTCGATGCAAATTGAGTTCTGCAAAGTACATTTTTCGCCCATTGGGTTTTGGGGTGAGATATGACCTGGAAGTCTTGCAAGATCCACCGTTGGATATGTTTTTCTTTTACATGTAGGCCTACAGTGAAAGTAATGCACCTAAATAGAACAACTTTGACACTGGAGCAACATGCCTGTGGTGTGAAAGAATTCTTTCTTATTTAAATCTGTAGCGGCTTTGAGTCTCCTACAAGCTTTAGTTTGAAGTGAACGAGGAAACGGGTTTGCTTTAATATATATATATATATATATACAGTGGGGCAAAAAAGTATTTAGTGTTGGGGGTATAACGTGAGTTACGTAATCAGATAATTTTTTCAAGTAACTAGTAAAGTAATGCATTACTTTTTAATTGACGAGAATATCTGACTTACTTTTTCAGATAAGTAACGCAAGTTACTTTTTTTTTTTTTTTTTTCAATGTATCGACTGACAGCTCTGGTGTCCCCATGTTGAGAGAAATCAGATGCTACTGTAGTTCTAAATAAATATGAATATGCATTAATTTATCTCACTCACACAAAAACACACAGATTCAGTATTCCTCAAAATGAATAAAAATAATGCAACTCATGTTGCATTATCAACTCAATATGACACAAACCTGCAATAATTAAATGTTAAACACAAATATCCTTTGTCTTTGCTTCTGAGCTTCAATGATCCAGTTCAGCCGTACTAATCAGCACAAATAACATTTGTTTATTGCTGAAGTGTGTTGAAATGTCGTCTTCTGCATTCTACTGTACTTTCCCTTCAGCCTGAGGCTTATTCATTTCACTTTTGGTGTGAAAAGGCTTTTATATTTGCCAAAAATATAACTTTTTTATTTTAAAAACAAACAAGCAAGCCCTGTCCAGATTTAAAAAGTAACGTAACGTATTACTTTCCATAAAAAGTAACTAAGTAGCGTAATTAGTTACTTTTTTATGGAGTAACGCGATATTGTAATGCATTACACTATATATATATATATATGGGCTATTAATGCTAGAATCTAATTGATGCAGTCAGTTGTTTCATTACTTTAGATACTGAACTCTACTGTGATTATGAACTCGAGTGCTTGATAAAAGATCAGCTATCACTCCAGCAAAGGTAACAAAACAAGGTTCTCCACAGTCGATTTATTATGCAATCTTGGGGGTTTCATTTAGTTCATGCCCATAATTAGTTTTATTTCAGCAGAGGTCGCTGTCTTCTGCCTCAGAATTCTATCTGCTCTCAATTCTCTTTCTCAGATCACACAGAACATGTTCCGGCTCTGCAGGTCTGGGATGGACGTCGCTCCTAATGGGTCATTTCTCATATATGCAACATTCATAGTTGCCTATGCTAATATATATTTCAACTTTAATAGTTACAAGTTGTTATTTACACAGAAGATGAAAATAAAGTTAGTCAAATCCATTGCTAATACTTATCCTACTGATATTTGTGCTTTTGTCTTCCTGCCAAAAAACGTTTTATCACTTTATGTGGTTCAAGAACTATTAGGGATGTCATAAGGATCATCCAGATGGAAATTAAAGGTATGAGAGAAAAATATAAATGATGACCAAGCATATGGTGAGAAAATAAAACTGATTTATTTATTTTTTTGAGTTCGTTATTATATTTCTTTACTATGTGTCAAATATTAATGCGTTTAAGACTGGCAAAGGTGGTAAAGGCACGATGTTTAAAATTCAACTGTTATAAAAGTTTTCGGTATTGCGAAAGATTGTAGATCACGTGATACCGGTTGTTTTTCTCAGCGCTAGTCAGAATGGACCAATCACAGTCGCTTGAGATTAACCTGGAATTATGAAGTAGGTGTCCTGTTGATATATTTAACGCGTTATACCTTTCAGTGTACATACATTAGTATACAAGCGAGAGACAGAAGTCTGTTTCTGAGCCGCCAAGTCCTCTTAGAGGAAGTTTAATATATTTACTTTTTAAAACTTATTTTAACAAGAGAATTCACAAAAACAACCGACCTATACTCCTTTAATTTCTGTTTAATGGAGAACTCGACGACTGCGTCAACCGTCCGACGTGCGCGTTCTCGTGTTTTGAAGTAGTCGACGTGTGGCTCGCGCTCCCGCTAGCGACTCAAGCTCGCGATCAAACAAACAAACAAACAAACAAACAAACGGTCGCCGAAGTTGAGCTCGTCTAAGTTCAGCCATCACATTAAAAGCGGGGGATTTGCTCATAAAGTCTCTTCCTCGTCTCTTAAAATGTCCGGGGAGGATTAATTGCTCTCAGTCCGGAGTTTTGGACCTTTCTGCGGTTTGCGAGCGCTTCTCTTCGGTTCATTCGAGGTGAGTTTAACGACGTCCTTTCGGCTGAATTAAGAGAGCAGAAATGAAACAACCTCTATCTATCTCTTACCTTCACTCTCATTAATACATCTCTTTAGAGTTTGCTGAGTTGTAAACGCTTTAGTGTCACTACTTTTCGCCTGTGAACTCGTTCAGCTCCGTGTGAAACTGTCCTAATGCTCTAATATGCGAATACTTTGTGTAATCCTGATACTACACTTGAAATAGCTATACATGTGATCTCAGCTGTGTAGAGTCCTGATACGATGCTTATATATACTGAGTAATTTCAGTTCTGTAGTAACTAACCAGCGTTGGGGAAATTACTTTTCAAAGTAATGCATTACGATATCGCGTTACTCCATAAAAAGTAACTAATTACGTTACTCGGTTACTTTTTATGGAAAGTAATGCGTTACGTTACTTTTAAAATCTGGACAGGGCTTGCTTGTTTGTTTTTAATACAAAAAAGTTATATTTTTGGCAAATATAAAAGCCTTTTCACACCAGAAGTGAAATGAATAAGCCTCAGGCTGAAGGGAAAGTACAGTAGAATGCAGAAGAAGACATTTCAACACACTTCAGCCATAAACAAATGTTTGTCTGGAGTAATTTGTGCTGATTAGTACGCTTGAACTGAATCATCGAAGCTCAGAAGCAAATATAGAATGGGATTAAACGCATATTTGTGTTGTTTAACATTTAATTATTGCAGGTTTGTGTCATATTCTGAGTTGCATTATTTTTATTCATTTTGAGGAATACTGAATCTGTGTGTTTTTGTGTGAGAGAGATGAATTAATGCATATTCATATTTATAGCTACAGTAACATCTGATTTCTCTCAACATGGGGACAGCAGAGCTGTCAGTCAATACATTGGAGAAAAAAAAGTAACTTGCGTTACTTCTCTGAAAAAGTAACTCAGATATTCTCTTGTCAATTAAAAAGTAATGCGTTACTTTACTAGTTACTTGAAAAAAGTAATCTGATTACGTAACTCGCGTTACTTGTAATGCGTTACCCCCAGCACTGGTAGTAAGGTTAATAGTGAGGTGTTTATATGCTCGTGCTGGTTTTGCTTCTCTGCTGGACGCTAGGCTTTGGTGAACACAAGTGTTCCTGTTTTAAAGAGGAAGGTTTAGGAGAGTGATCTGGTCTGACACACCGAGGTTTGAGGCTGTCAGGTCATTGTGTCAATTGCGTCGTTGATTTGCACAAAGAGGAAGATGTGATCCGAGTAATGCCCAGATCAGCACACTGCCTTTGCTTCTAGCGTAAAAAAAAGAGAGAAGGTGCTTTTTACTGCAAAAGCAGTAAATGTTACTCATTAATGTGTTACTTTATTTGGTTTCTCTTTATAGATGTCAATGGCTTGAATTTTATATCCCAGGCTGTCTGTCTCTGAGGCTCACACTTTACAAGTCATTGACTCAATTTCACGGCGAGGACACTAATTAAACTTAACTCGCACCATGTTATCCTAAACGTAAAATTGAAATGCAATGCAATTATATGAATACATCTATTCATTTAAATATATGAGGAAGATGAACGTGCTTTAATTGCTGAATTAAAGTCCATTTAGAGAAAAAAAAAATGAACATACGGCTTTTAGTCTGCCGAGTCATGTCATGCGGTGCAACTAACATGCAGGAAAAAACTAGCGTAACATTTAAATGATGTCATGGAGACTCAAACTTTAAATTGTCAGATAATTGTATCTTTTTGAGACACAACACGCTTGGTTCAAGTTGTAAAATGACACATAAAATAGTTTGCCTATTCATTTAAATATATGAGGAAGATGAACATGCTTTAATTGCTGAATTAAAGTCCATTTAGAGAAAAAAAAAAATGAACATTTTAGTCTGCCGAGTCATGTCATGCGGTGCAACTAACATGCAGGAAAAAACTAGCGTAACATTTAAATGATGTCATGGAGACTCAAACTTTAAATTGTCAGATAATTGTATCTTTTTGAGACACAACACGCTTGGTTCAAGTTGTAAAATGACACATAAAATAGTTTGACTCCATTCATAATGCATGATATTTGTAAAGATGTTACTTAAAAAGTGAAAATGATGAGATATGTTCACGTACGTGTATTCAAGGTGTAAAATAAATATGTATTACACCGTTTTACTTGATGGTTACACCACATTGCATTTGTTGAGTCATTAAACTGAAACTTTCCTTAGAGTTTTTCAAAAACCAATTGCAACCAACATGAAAGAGTACGTTCTAAGAATCTGGCACATGTTCTAAACTAGAATTTTAAATGATTTTACCATTTTTTTTGTTATGCCATTAAAAATGTAGGAACTGTCTTGCTCCTGATGTCAGCTAGAACTCTTTCCTTGTGACTCCCCTTTTTGTGGCTTTTTTTTTTTTGCGTATTCTTTTGCTGCTTTTGAAGCATTGGTATTTCCCTCAGAAAAAACTTAACCCAGATTCAACATACTAGTAAACTATATTTAAGCATTCTATTTAAAGGCAAACAAAACATAATCATTAACACAATTCATTACAGTAAATGTGTGTGAGAGGGAGTGTGTAACATGTACACCAGTTTGCGGAGACCTGCAGTCATTTTACCTTTAAAGCTGTTCAGATTATTCATATCCTTTACATTTCAGATTTTTCCCCCTGTAGCCGTCAAACCTAATGGCTCGTTTATAATTTCACTCTGCCCTATGACCTGTCAGCAGTAAGTCCAGGCTTTACGTGTATCCTCCTGCTGTTGAGAGATCTGTCTCAGTGGGTGTTGTGTTGTCTAGTCACAGTGCAGCTATTGTTGGTCTGTTTCTAGTGAGCGTTTGGGTGTACTGACACTGCGGGCCGGGGCATTAAAGGGGGGCTGGGGTATTTAATGACAGCCCAGCGATATCCAGTCAGTGAGGGCTGTGAGAGCATTTCGTTGGTTTGAACTTTGCACGTGTTGTCATGTTTGCTGACTCCAGGTAATCTGAATTGGATTGTTTTTGTTGTGTTGTGTTGTGGATGGATTTTTATTATTTTTTTTATTTCAACTTGAATGCAAGTTTTGGTTTCCTGTTTAAAAATGGAAGATTTTGTAGTTAGGGCCAATGACAGACTTTTACAATGTAGAATATATAGTATATTAGAGCTGGGATGACTCTTATTAATTTTGATGAGCCGAGCCGACATCAGCTCTTAAATCCCTAGAACCGTTCTTTTAGTCCATTCTGTTTATTCACTAAACGTTATTTTTAGCGCATCTGCCATCCAATAATCACAATGAGCTTTGTTACTTTTGAAGCAAAGTCAGAGCTCTGTCAATTTTATTTTGAAATGAAACGGCATATTATTAGTCATTAGTCAACTAACTTAGAAATAAATATATCTAGTGAGGCACATTTTGATTGCACTGTATTACATGTTCATTAAATTCTTTCTTGTTGATGTCTCATTTATTGTATGTTTGAATAAGTCTGTTATGAAAAGTTATGATAGCCACTGTTTATATTTCAACAATGATTTGGAACAGATCAGGTAATACTTTAGAGTAGGGAACACATAACCTATTAACTAAGAGTTTCCCCTCAATAAACTCTTAATTTGCACTTATTGATAGTAAGTAAGGTAGTTGTTGTAGTTGTTATGTTTAGGTATTGGGTATGGGTTAAGGGATCTAGAATATAGTCATGCATTTGTGCTTTATAAGTACTAATAAACAACATATATATGTATACATACATACCTACTTGAATCGAAATAAGAGCTTGAGAGCTGAAATCGAATCGATTTGTTAAATCTGTGTCAATACCCAGCCTTTGAATATTTACAGTAGGGATGCACCGAAATGCAAATTCTTGGCCGAAACCGAACAAAATTAAACACTGGGCCGAATACGAACATGGTTTTTCGAGTTTTTGCCCCATGTATTTTGGCAAAAAAAAAAATCACCATTGCATAAATTAAAAAGCCAAAATGTGCTTTTTACTGTTTTGTCTTGCTTTTCAAAGAAAAAAATCTATTACAAAACAACAATTTAAAAAATATTTAACATATTTAACATATTTTAACATTCTAGCAGACACTATACCAACAAAGCGCAATTTAACTTAAGTTCAAATTAATAAGTTAGTAAAATAATAATTTTTGGCCATCAGAGACCCCCTTCTTGAATCAGGCATGTATTTTTTTTTTTTACTGTACAATTAAAAGCAGCCTTGCTGAGAAGAGACTTCTTTTAAAACATTAGAAAATATTACAGATCCTAATTTGAACACTGTGAATGTTATAATGTATTAAAACAGCTGTTGTAATGATTATTGTCATTATTATTGTCTTACTATTTATTTTATTTTACAGAACAACAGTAAAATTACAATGCTAACATTTATGAATGTTGATAAGAGTTCTTGCTTTTTCTCAACTTTTATTTTGGCAGGAACACGCACGAAGACCTCAATGCTTATTTTTGTTGACAACAGATTTATAAATGGGTCTCATTACGAATGCGTCGTACGTATCGCTTTGTCACATGACTTGTAAAAATTCATAAAAATGTGACTGAGCAACTGACGACTGTATCGGCGCAGATTGTCCTCACGCTTTGGACTGAACCCTGGTTAACAAGCAGCTCTGCTGCCAGTTCGTGCAGCGCTGTCAGAAAACATATTAGAAATGTATTAGAAAACATAACGTTCTGCAGTTTTTTTACTAATTGTTTAAGGCAATTTCACGATTTCAATCATCATACAGTAACCAGCAACAATCACCCCTTCCTCTTCTCATCGAAGACATGCGAAGCAGTACTAAACAGTCTCTCGCTGTCGGTGCTTGTAATGATTTGTGCCTCTTTCTCCGACAGTATAAATGCTTCCACACTGCTGACGTGTGTGCTGCATTATAAAGAGTGCGCACCTCTCACTCTGCGCTGGTTGCTATTTGATCGCGTCATATCATTGTTCGGTACAATTTATTCGGTCTTTTCGAATAAATCCACCAAGGTCCACCAAGCAGAAAGCCAGTTTGTTGTTGTGACGAGTCAATGATGAACCCCTCGTGTCCTAGAATCTTGTAGACTCTGATGCGTGTCAAAAGCCAGTAAGTCTCTCAAGATGTATAAGCTTGCATACTTTTGAGGTTCAAACAAAATGGTGTTGCTTTTTACTTGATGGTTGCATCACTTGACCACAGAGTTTTTTCTTGTCGTCGTGGAGGTTCTGTTAGCATCCTCAGGCTGAACGGTTTTGGAAGGGAGATTATTTTTATTATTTCCAGGTTTTGTCGGGGTAACAGGATCCTACTGTTATGTAGTCCCTTTCTTTGGACTTTGTTGCTTTTTGAGGCAGAAATCAACCTTGACTGCTTGTCCTTTCAGTGCCAGGAGAATCTCGCGGTGTGTAATGGCACCGGTTAGCACAGTAGACTAGGGCTGTCAAAATGACTGAAAAACTAAATTAGAATTTTCTACTTAAATATAATAAAAATTCAAATTATATTCGAATTTAAAAGGCATAATTTCAGTTAGGGGGGAAAAGCTTTTGGCTTATCTCCTGAGGCCACAAGAGGATATATATTATAAAATACAAAATATTATGCACGTTTCTTCAAAGAGTAATAAAATAACACGACTATCTTTGAAAAAAAGTGCATAATGATTAAAATAATGTTTATAAACCATTTATAATTAATAAAGTTGCTTAAACAATTAGAAAATAAAAAACAGCACCATGCATGTATGTATAGTTTAATACAAAGGACCGAAAACCAATCAAAAAGAGTAGGCTACTTTCTTCATTTAAAAACATGAGATGCAGTGGGATGGGGAAAACCGCCATAACGTCTTTAGACATGTTTTTTAAAAGTTGAACTTGCATTAATTTTACATGGCTTTCTAAAAATGAATGATAAATATGCGTTCTGTGTGAACGGCTTGGTTTCAGTAAACAACATCTTCTCCACACTGATGCTCTCGTTTTCCGCAATATATGAATGAACAACGTAGCAGCGCCACATCTAGTGGCTTCAACTGGATAAGCTAACAAAAGCATTCAAATGCAATCAATGACGCATACATCGTCATCGCATCTCGTGTGCCACTGATAAGGCTTTTTGACGACTAACGCAGACCTTAAATTCGAATGCAATGCTTTTGCATTCGAATGCGTTTTTTTTTTTTTTGTCAAATATTCGAAATTAGAAAAACATTTTGACAGCCCTACAGTAGACCAATGATTGATGGCAACGATTGATCATGAAAACACAATCTAACTCTTTTTGTTTTTGTTTGTTGTTCATCAGACACCAATTTGCATCAACAATTTCACGCTAACGTTTGCGGTCAGCACTCTGAAGATGATTAGATTTAGGTTGCAAATGAATTAAACTGAAGGTCTTGATGTTGTTTGAGACGACAATTGCTGAAATGTGTATACTGTATTCTCATGGTAATGAATTGCATTACAAAAACAGGTTGAAAAGAGTGGTGTCCTCTTAAAAACAAGTATAATAAAGTTTTTCAAATAACAAAAAGAACCATTAATATTTAAGTACAATAAGACAAAACACAATAAAAATGTAAAATAAAACAAATGTTTGATTAAAGTGCAAAAGAACACAACTATAAAGAACAGTAACTCGTATCTAGATATCTTTTTTTCTGGACTGACATGTTTTAGTCCAGATTAAAATGTGTAAGCAAATGTTTAGAATTAAATATTACATCTTTAAGTTTTAGGTGTTGTTTGATAAGCAGCAATATAGAATAAAGGGAATAAAGAAATGCAAGTACTGTTTGACTTCCCTTCTTCTCCATGACAGGTGTGTGTCCGAAATAGAAAATTGTGCAGCACCACAACCAGTTTTTTAACCAGTTGACAGAGAAAAAAAACCGAATGTGTACTCTTAAAAATACAAATACCAGTACCAGTGTATTGTATTACCAAAAACTGGCACATGTCTGTTGAGTCACATTGTTTTTAACTTTTTCACTTGACACAGTTTTGTAAAATGTGGCCTTCATGACTCGAGACATTCAAATGCAATGTCTAGAGACTTCCATCTGATGCATGTTTAGAGCACCAACAGTTTAACAAACTGCAAAATACCAAAAATCATTTCTGAGGTCATTTCGCAGGTTTGATGAAACTTTAGAAAGATGAACCTTTTTTGTGGGAAGAATTTCCTTTAAACAAACAATGCACAGTAAGACCAAAAATGTAAGAGGTGTCAGTTTTGCTTTAATGTTGACAATAACTATATTGTATTGTGTGAATGCTAATCATACAGGTTTTTAATTTCAGTACTGTTTATTTTGCATGTGGCTTTTAGTCAAGACCGTTTTGTACCAGCATGTCTTACTGGAGTAAAATTTCTATGATGGTAATATACTTTGGACAGTGGTGTGAGTTACCCACGTCTGATGTTTTTACTATCCTGAATGATTCATTCATCTTATCAGCTCATTCAACACTGTGCCCAAACCATGAGAGGCGTAACCATGGTAGTGCTACTGGATCAGCCAGCCTTTATTTGGCTGTGAGTGAGAGAGGGAGTAGTGTGTGTGTGTGCGTTTGAGTTTGAGAGAGAGAGACAGAACGATACAGTGTCATCCTAGTAGGAGTATTGCACAGCTCCTGTGGTTTAGATGGCACACAGCCTTTAAATAAATGATGGAAGTCCTACTTCTTCAGCCAAATGACTCCAGCTGAGAGCTTACCGGCCATCCTGACTGATGCTGGAAGAACTTTTTCATGCTGCTAATTTACCTCCAGGGGTATTGATTAGAGCAGACCAGTCTACCTTTTAAGAAAGTACATCCTTAGTCTTCAGATACAATCAATCTTAGAAGACAGAGCTGATTCAATTTGTGGTGCGATTAGCTGTAATCTAAGAGTCTCTTTCTGGAACTCTCGCAGTAGGTGTGGAGCATGTGGGCCAGCTGCTGCGGCTGGCTCTGTCTGGATGATTCCACCATGGACGACACCAGAAGTAACACCCGTCATCAGGCCTTCAGCAACTCTGGCTTCAGCAGTTACCCGTCTCCCCCTGCTCCAGAACACACGTGCAAGGCCTGTGGAGGTCGCTTCGACAGCCTAGCCAGAAAGGTAATCAGTTTTATACTAACGTTAGTATAAAATTATTATGGCAAAAGCTTGTGAATAGCAGTTTCCCAAGGTTTGGAGTACTGTTGTCAAAAGTACCGGTACTTTGGTAGCAAATCAACACTTAAATTTTTAAAACGTAGTGATGCCATCCTTTCGACAGTACCGGTAGTACTGAGTACAGACAGGCGACTGCTTTCAAACGCTCCCGTATTTGTGTGAGTGTTTGTACTGTGAAGAGCGTCAAAGGTTTCAACTGTCTTCAAAAAGTTTAGATGGTATTTTCTTTTCATCTTGTCTCCGTATGATGCACATTAAAGTAGTGTTTATAATCGCAGCGCTGCTTTGTTTACAGCGTTAACCATGGAAAGGATGTATTACTGCTGTTCCAAAAGCGCCCCCTGCTGTCAGAGAGTGAATCTGCGTCTCATTCAGCCCGTCTGCTCTTTCTGTTTCATGCAGATGTGTTTTATCAGGGCTTGAATTTCGGCGCGGGATTGTGCATAATTCTACTGATTCCCGCAGTTTCCGCACTTGTAATGTGGGAAATTCCCACAAATGTTTCAGCGTGAAAGACGCTCGGGACAGATGACGGAATGTATCATTTGCAGATAGATAGATAGATAGATAGATATTCGGTTTTTGTGGTATTGCTGTAACTGAATATTATTGTTATACCTATCTGAAAAAAGTAATTAACAGTTAATTTTTGTTGTATCATGTTGTTGTATTTGTTTGTGCCATTGCTTGTCATTTATCTATTCTTATTTTATTACTGACTGTTTACTTACTTGTCACAATCTCCTCATCACAGGCAGGCACAGCACTCATGTTCCTGTTTGTGTGTGCTGTCTGCGTCACTCATAGCACGTGCCTATATCGTGCACTATATCGAACATTTTTTATATCGTTATCGAAGAAGGTGTACCGTCGATAAATATCGATACCGTTTTTTCGCCCAGGCCTGCTTTATTTATATAGTGCTTTATACAATACAGATTGTGTTAAAGCAGCTTTACAGTGTCAAACAGGAACAACGTGTGAGGACAATAGAAAACAGTCAGTTTATCAGTTAAAGTCAGTTCATTGATGATTCAGTGAGGGCATCGTCCAGCTCACTTCAGTTCTCTTTATATAATGTCTGTGCAGTCAAGTCAACAATGTTGCCAGAAATTGTGTCCCCAGCTAAGCAAGCCAAAGGCGACAGTGGCAAGGAACCAAAACTCCATCGGTGACTGAACTGGAGAAAAAAAAAAACCTTGGGAGAAACCAGGCTCAGTCGGGGGCCCAGTTCTCCTCTGGCCAGACCAAACCAGCATGGTGTGGTTTAATTCCACGCTGCAACACAGGCAAACACAGACCAACAAGTAAAGAGTCCACAGAGTAATATGAATACTCTGTGGACTCATTACTTCAGTATTACTGCGTCACTGCATCTGTGTTGATGCAACCGTTCAGCTAAACATTGCTGAAGAACTTCATTGCTTGGCTGAATAATTATTATTTGTTCTAAATAAATTTATTATGTTTTTGTTGTTCTGAGTTTAGTTAATGAAACCTTGCCAGGTATATGTAGCAACTGTGTTATAAAAGTAATAAGCCCTGTGAAAAGCTGTACACAAATCATTTACCACATCCTTTGCACTTTTCTGTGGAGCATTAAAGAAGATATTTACACTGTGTGTAGTATTGTATTTGCCCAAAAATATTGAAAGCATTCTTTAAAGTGTCTTATTTTAGGTTGCACAGAAGAAATTAAGTCATAAAGGTTTAGAACAACAAGAAGGTAAACGATGACATAATGTTCATTTTCAGATGAACTTTTATCCTGTTAGCACACATAAATTCCACTGATTATATAGTGTATGAAAGTCTATTAGTAATAAAATTTGAAGTTGAATCCAATTGCAACACACTAAAGCAAACCTGTGAACAGGTCTAGATGTTCACATGTAAAGGTTGAGTTTATTCCAGTTCTAACTGGCCGTGTTGCTGAGGATCATAAGGCTGTGCTCAAGTAGTTTCACTGTACATTCCCCCGTGTTGAATGTTATTAAAAATCACAAACTGTCTTAACCTACTGAGAACCTTATGCCAGTGAATTAGAATTTGCTAGACACACAAAATCTCCTACACCTTGTGAGCCGCTTACTAAGGCAGCATTTTAAAGCACTGTAGGGCCTTTCTGACCTGAATACACTTTAAAACCAAAGACAGCCAGAGAGAACTCTAAAAGTCCAATATGTTTTTGATATTTTGGAGCAAAGCATCTGCTAAATGTAAAATAATGCTGAACTTTAAATTCTAGGCAGTGCTATCAAATATGTGATCAAAAATACATTTGTTAATGTGTATTGCACTTATTGGAGCCTTCTGGAGACCTCTTGATGCATTGCATTTAACATCATCCTCATGTCGCTGAGCCACCATTATTAACATTATCAAGCTGCCATACATCCAGGAGTCATAGTGTGAGTGTCTGCATCCAGCGTGACTACCTGCCCGCCTCACGAGGAGAATTATCCAGAATGCACTTTGTAAACTGTGGCTCGAATGACAGAATGATGATGCATATCGATGTCACAGCCATTGTACCGCTTCCTTACTGTAGTGCTGCTGTTGTCATGTCACGTTCATGGCATTCCTGCACACACACCTTACATAAGGGCAGAGTCACATTGGGTTCTGGTTTCCTGAACAGATTTGTTTTAAGATATCGGATTGGAAGTTTTTTGATGTTTGAATGCATATTAGTGGGTAGGACATCTACAAAGCACATCCAGTATTGTTATCTGAATAGAGCTCAATAGTGACCACCCAGCTTTTCAGCAGAAGCTTATTCTTACGTCAATGTATTTCACAAAGTTTCCAAGCCTTAAACCAAACAAACTAGTTCCATGATTAATTAATATTACAGCAATTGATTTGAAGACAAAGTATTTGAAAATCAGCTAAATGAATTAACTATTCATCCCATGACTCATTATTAGCCATTAACCAAACCAACCAGCTACAAGGTGAATCACAGCATTACAAACTTTGATTTGAAGCAAAGATGTCAAAATTGGACAAGATGGAGGTTCAACACTGTTCTTAATGGCTTTAATGACATAAAATAAAAACCGAGAAATCTAAAACTATTGATTTAAAGATGTTAATTATGTATTTTAAATGTATTCCAAATTATACATATACATTTAAGTAGGGAGACTTTGTCATTCACAGTATTTATTGGGAGTTGTCGAAGGCGTTTTGTTTTTTGTGATTTACTCGATTGTTGGAGATTTCTTTGCGGAATCATGGGCAATGTAGTTTTCACTAGCTATAATAAATGTGGCCTCATGGCTTCTGAAATGATGTAGCTTCATTGCTTCAACAATACCATTGATTAACAACCTTGGAACTCACAGTAGGTTTGTCTTTAATGCTGTAGGTTATCATTAAAAATCAGTTCCCCTATTGTTGAAAAAAATGAATGGCATTTGTTTTACTTCCAGAACCCAACTATTGCACACAGGAGGATTTCACTTTAAAATTGTGGGTGGTGTAGTGCTTCACCAGTAATTTGCTGATAAAAACAGTTTTCTATAAATGAAGCTGAAATGTTCCAATGATGTATTGCGTCTACAGGCTTAGACCTCAATTTCACCTATGTAAAGGCTGTGACACACCAAACCAACATGAAAGAACTGGTGGCAAAAACTAGGCCTACAGATGCTCAGAGACAGCCCAAATTTGGCCGACTTGTGTCATGGCCTGAAAGGTGCAGTAAGCGATTTCTGAGAAAAGCTGTTGAAAGTGGATTGAAAGCACCAAAACAAACTTGTAGCAATCACCAGTAAGGGGTGTGTCCATGCGTGATGGGGGAGGTGCCTGTTGCATAGCATGTTTGTGAATTTGGGGGCGGAGCTATCAAGACAGAGGTGTGATTATTTTGGGTAGGAGTGTGTTTTTGGTCATCGACAGCAATTCAAAGAAATCACTTACTGCACCTTTGAAGTGTATGTGAACCTAAAGTTGAGATCGACTTTACTCTTTCCATGAAATTGAATATTGAATGAGACTGATTTCGAGGGGGAATTTATTTGACAGGATTTGAGGCAGTATAGTAGTGAGAGGAGGGGGGTGAGATCTGGACATGAGCCAGCAGCTGTTGCAAATCCTGAGCATGTGCACAGTCCATTGCGCCACAGCTCTGACTGAATGGCATTGTGACTTCCAGAACGCTACGCTTGAGTTCTGTTAGTCACATGTTTATATTTCCTGGAGAGGCTTCCCAGACTCCTTTGGCATTATCCAGTACATTAAACAGAAGATGATGCAATAGTGTAACTTCTGACCCAGTTGTCTTGGTCAGTTGCAAAATGCATGAGTGAATGAGTGTTCCTCCTTAAAAGAAGGATTAGACCTTGTGTTCCAGTCTTAACCTGGCTGTAAAACTCACCCTCCCATTATTCATTGCAGCACGTGTGCATGGACTGCCAAAAAAGCTACTGCAGCCGCTGCTCCACTCAGCAGGACCTCCAGCCATGGCTGTGCCACACATGCCAGCGTTTCCGTGGCATCCTGTTCGAGCGCGCCGAGCTGATGAAGCTCAAGGTGAAGGATCTGAGGGACTACCTCCACCTGCACGGGGTCTCCACGCAGATGTGCCGTGAGAAAGAGGAGCTGGTCGAGCTGGTTCTTGGCCAGCATACGCCTACATCTGACACGCACATTCCTCCACCCCCAGTGACCACACATGAATCCCTTAACACTCCAGTCATAACCGTGAGCCCGTTGGCGGACAATGGCACAGCAGAACTGGGACCTCAGACTCAAGCAACGGAAGATGGACAGGTAAAAAATGTTCTTTCTTTTTTTCTTTTTTTTTTTGAAAGAAGCTACATCTATTTGATGAATGAATACAGTAAAAAAAAACAGTAATATTGTGAAAAATTATTACAATTTAAAATAACCATTTTCTAAGTGAATATATTGTAAAATGTAATTTATTTCTGTGATGCACAGCTGAATTTTCCGCATCATTAGTGTCACTGAATATGCTGATTTGATCAAGAAACACTTATTGCTATTACCGATGTTGAAAACAGTTTTTGCTGCTCAATTTTTATTTATTTTTTGGAAACCATTCGTCAAATTTTTTTTATCGAATTTTTAAATCGCATGTGCTTCACTTCTCGGTTTGGTTCATGCAGCACTGTAAAGCACAGCTTTAAAATGTCTCATATGACTCACTTTTGACACAGACTGTCTCTTAAGAACACTACAGAGTGTGCAAAATAACTGTTGTAACTTAAAGTGAGTTAGATAGGGAGCACAGCTGCGTTAAACTCTGTTGGTTGTGACCTTTGACCCTTAGAGCTTGGCTGAGGCGACAGCTGAAAGCGAGATGGACGCTGAGCTGCAGGAGGAGCAGGAGTTGCAGGTACCTCCTGAAACTCCTCACCTCTCCTCTACTTCTCGCTGCTGCGCTGTCTGGGGCGTTAAATGGGGCAGAGGACAGAACAGTGACTTCTGTCACACTTCAGAATGCTTAGGAAAGATTTGGCCTCTTGATGATTCTTGCCGTTCACAGTAGAGTCAGTTTAAAGAATGTCTTCTGCTTCATAGGGGTGCTTTGAGCGTGGGGAAAAGCTTGGCTGCAGGCTGGGATGAATCACTGCTTCTTTGAAAGTCTGTCTTCGAGTCTACTCTTTTCACATCTTAAAGGGAAAGTTCATGCAGAAACGATTCCGTCAACTAGGTAAAGATCGGGATTAATCCATTTCCAGTGAACGAAGCAATTGAGACCGGTTTTGTGAACTAGATCAACTGATTCTTTTGAATCTGGCTCAAATGAACAATTCGTTCCTTGGACAATTCAGTCTGATCTTAAGAAAATGTATCGGGCACAGCAACAGACCCTCAACTCAACGCTGTTGCTTCTTTCACTTGAGGAGCAAAAAGTGCTAGTGTGAGAAGTCACAATAAATGGAAGTAGCAACAGATCTTGTGACGTACATCTGAGTGTAACAGATTATCGAGAGAAAAAAACAAAGATCTGGGATTTGATTCTACCCATCGGTTGTTGATTGGATTTTAAGATATGGGTGCTGCACTCAAAACTGAATGTGAGCTTGCTGTCGATTGTTAGGGTCTGGACTAAATGACTGGAGAAGTCAAGACACCTTTATTTATATAGTCAATGATGTGAAGGTTATCAAATATGTGACACATTCTCCTGTCAAGCAGCTCTGCAGAAGACAATATTGTCATTATTAAGCTCAAGTCAGTTCAAGTTTTGTTCTCATCTGATAATGTCGGTTCTTTCAAATCAGTGATACTGAATCCTAAACCCCAGCTAAGCAAGCCAAAGGTGACAGCGGCTAGGAACCAGAACTCCATCGGGTGACAGAAATGGAGAAAATACCTTGAGAGAAACCATGTTTAAGTTCAGTAATATTGTGAAAAATTATTACAATTTAAAATAACCATTTTCTAAGTGAATATATTGTAAAATGCAATTTATTTCTGTGATGCACAGCTGAATTTTCCGCATCATTAGTGTCACTGAATATGCTGATTTGATCAAGAAACACTTATTGCTATTACCGATGTTGAAAACAGTTTTTGCTGCTCAATTTTTTATTTTTTTTGGAAACCATTCGTCAATTTTTTTTAATCAAATTTTTAAATCGCATGTGCTTCACTTCTCGGTTTGGTTCACGCAGCACTGTAAAGCACAGCTTTAAAATGTCTCATATGACTCACTTTTGACACAGACTGTCTCTTAAGAACACTACAGAGTGTGCAAAATAACTGTTGTAACTTAAAGTGAGTTAGATAGGGAGCACAGCTGCGTTAAACTCTGTTGGCTGTGACCTTTGACCCTTAGAGCTTGGCTGAGGCGACAGCTGAAAGCGAGATGGACGCTGAGCTGCAGGAGGAGCAGGAGTTGCAGGTACCTCCTGAAACTCCTCACCTCTCCTCTACTTCTCGCTGCTGCGCTGTCTGGGGCGTTAAATGGGGCAGAGGACAGAACAGTGACTTGTCACACTTCAGAATGCTTAGGAAAGATTTGGCCTCTTGATGATTCTTGCCGTTCACAGTAGAGTCAGTTTAAAGAATGTCTTCTGCTTCATAGGGCTGCTTTGAGCGTGGGGAAAAGCTTGGCTGCAGGCTGGGATGAATCACTGCTTCTTTGAAAGTCTGTCTTCGAGTCTACTCTTTTCACATCTTAAAGGGAAAGTTCATGCAGAAACGATTCCGTCAACTAGGTAAAGATCGGGGTTAATCCATTTCCAGTGAACGAAGCAATTGAGACCGGTTTTGTGAACTAGATCAACTGATTCTTTTGAATCTGGCTCAAATGAACAATTCGTTCCTTGGACAATTCAGTCTGATCTTAAGAAAATGTATCCGGCACAGCAACAGACCCTCAACTCAACGCTGTTGCTTCTTTCACTTGAGGAGCAAAAAGTGCTAGTGTGAGAAGTCACAATAAATGGAAGTAGCAACAGATCTTGTGACGTACATCTGAGTGTAACAGATTATCGAGAGAAAAAAACAAAGATCTGGGATTTGATTCTACCCATCGGTTGTTGATTGGATTTTAAGATATGGGTGCTGCACTCAAAACTGAATGTGAGCTTGCTGTCGATTGTTAGGGTCTGGACTAAAGGACTGGAGAAGTCAAGACACCTTTATTTATATAGTCAATGATGCGAAGGTTATCAAATATGTGACACATTCTCCTGTCAAGCAGCTCTGCAGAAGACAATATTGTCATTATTAAGCTCAAGTCAGTTCAAGTTTTGTTCTCATCTGATAGTGTCAGTTCTTTCAAATCAGTGATACTGAATCCTAAACCCCAGCTAAGCAAGCCAAAGGTGACAGCGGCTAGGAACCAGAACTCCATCGGGTGACAGAAATGGAGGAAATACCTTGAGAGAAACCATGTTTAAGTTTGATGTACAATCTCTCTGTTGGTCAAGTATGGAGGGTCTGTCTTTCAACGCTACATTAAGAAGGATAAGTGCAGCATTTACTGTGTGGTGGAAGGCCAGTATTATGACACATGCTACCACTCCTTATCATAATAAAAAAGGCTCTTGAACTAATCTAAACAAGACCTTTAAACCATGATGAACGCTCAGCTGGTTATCTGAACCCTAGTATTAGCATATAATGTTTGCATAATAACAGGATGTGGAGTTACACAAACTGCCAAGCATTAATCGATTCATCTGTGTGTGTTTTTTAACATCTTTCTGTTCATGCTGTCTGTGCCAAACCTGCAGACTAAACTAATTTAAACCACAGCTTTCTGCTCATCTCTGGATTGCGTTGTGATTGGGGTTAAACCTTTTTCTAAATCAGTAAAGTGAAAATAATGACACTTTCATTTTCTAACATTTGCTCTTGATTTGGCAGATTCTTGTTCTCTGAAGTCTGCTTTGACTTTCAGTGGAGTGATGTTTGCATGCACTTGAGATGCCAAGAGATCATTTACCCATCAGTCACGTTACAGCCCTAGATAAACAGATGTTTGCATGCTGTCTTTCTCTGTGTCAGTCTTCAGACTCTGAGGAAGTGCTGGCTCCTGGGCGACGGGCGTCTCTGTCTGACATCAGATCAGTGGAGGACATTGAGGCTCTGAGTGTACGCCAGTTGAAGGAGATTCTTGCCAGGAACTTCGTCGACTATAAGGGCTGCTGTGAGAAATGGGAGCTGATGGAGAGAGTCACGCGTCTGTACTACGACCAGAAGGACCTGCAGAACATGGGTAAAGGATTTGATGTGATTAGATGGATCAGCAGCTGGGTGAGGGCTCAGAAGTGTACAGCTCAGCACTCTGACGTTGACGTTATATTTAATTTTTTATAGTTTGGTTTCTGCTGCTTGTCAATGTAACCTGTAGGCTTGACATATTTTTGAAGAGTAATGTGGTTCTTCCTGCTAAGTGGCATTTCAGTTAGTGCCCTGGGCAAACATGAACACATTTTCTCAAGTAAATTGAAAAGTTAAATGTATCATTTCTGTTGATTACATTAACATGGCCTGTATTTGGTTTTTACAGTGTCTAACGCCACAGAAGGCACAGGTGGGTTTGTTTCTTATGACCTCAAAGTTAAGAATAGTTTTCATTAATATTTTAAGTGTCCATTTAATTTGAGTTTTATGTCCATTTTACTGTGAAGTTATGAATAATTGAATCACATAATTGTTTATCTTGAGGATGGAATTCATAAGTTATGTGGTGTAACCACCAAGTAAAAAGTAATAATGTTTTGTTCTTACAGCTTAAATATATGTGAGTGTACAATCGTAATCATTTTCAAAAGGTTGACACCCTTGTGTCAAGCCAAGCATTAATCGATTCATCTGTGTGTGTTTTTTAACATCTTTCTGTTCATGCTGTCTGTGCCAAACCTGCAGACTAAACTAATTTAAACCACAGCTTTCTGCTCATCTCTGGATTGCGTTGTGATTGGGGTTAAACCTTTTTCTAAATCAGTAAAGTGAAAATAATGACACTTTCATTTTCTAACATTTGCTCTTGATTTGGCAGATTCTTGTTCTCTGAAGTCTGCTTTGACTTTCAGTGGAGTGATGTTTGCATGCACTTGAGATGCCAAGAGATCATTTACCCATCAGTCACGTTACAGCCCTAGATAAACAGATGTTTGCATGCTGTCTTTCTCTGTGTCAGTCTTCAGACTCTGAGGAAGTGCTGGCTCCTGGGCGACGGGCGTCTCTGTCTGACATCAGATCAGTGGAGGACATTGAGGCTCTGAGTGTACGCCAGTTGAAGGAGATTCTTGCCAGGAACTTCGTCGACTATAAGGGCTGCTGTGAGAAATGGGAGCTGATGGAGAGAGTCACGCGTCTGTACTACGACCAGAAGGACCTGCAGAACATGGGTAAAGGATTTGATGTGATTAGATGGATCAGCAGCTGGGTGAGGGCTCAGAAGTGTACAGCTCAGCACTCTGACGTTGACGTTATATTTAATTTTTTATAGTTTGGTTTCTGCTGCTTGTCAATGTAACCTGTAGGCTTGACATATTTTTGAAGAGTAATGTGGTTCTTCCTGCTAAGTGGCATTTCAGTTAGTGCCCTGGGCAAACATGAACACATTTTCTCAAGTAAATTGAAAAGTTAAATGTATCATTTCTGTTGATTACATTAACATGGCCTGTATTTGGTTTTTACAGTGTCTAACGCCACAGAAGGCACAGGTGGGTTTGTTTCTTATGACCTCAAAGTTAAGAATAGTTTTCATTAATATTTTAAGTGTCCATTTAATTTGAGTTTTATGTCCATTTTACTGTGAAGTTATGAATAATTGAATCACATAATTGTTTATCTTGAGGATGGAATTCATAAGTTATGTGGTGTAACCACCAAGTAAAAAGTAATAATGTTTTGTTCTTACAGCTTAAATATATGTGAGTGTACAATCGTAATCATTTTCAAAAGGTTGACACCCTTGTGTCAAGGTTAATAAGTCATAATATAATATATATATTAGGGCTGGGCAAGTTAACGCGTTATTATTAATTAATTAACGCCGACAATTATTTTATCGCGCATTAACAGTTTTTTTAATTATTATTATTATTATTATTATTATTTTGTAAGTCCATTGCTTGCTGGCTCTGAATACACATACAGACAAACCGGGTCACAGGAGGTGTAATAATACAACGTGATTTTGTGACAAAAACATGGAAACTATTTTTCGTTTTTATCTTCTTGTTTGCTATATTTATTTGCTTGGTCAGTGTATTTGTGGGTTTTGGTTCTTTTGCACTTATAGGCTGTAAGGACCCTTGAAATAACAGAAATCGTTTGGCGAAGTGATATGTAATGCGATCGAGATCTGCCTGGAACTACTTTAGCTGTGCGTTTCCCTGAAAATAATTGCACACCTTAGAACGTTCGTCAGCCAATCAGATTCAAGTATTCATCAGCCCCGTAGTGTGTGTGTTGGATCTGGGGTTTAATCTACCACCTCCGTCCAGACTGACACTGTAAACTGTACTAACAGGAATGAGACTTGTCATACGAGTCTTGTCAGATCTGAAGTCTGTTGATTCATCTCACATGAGCGAACGCGAATAGTCTAAATTGCTGGCAATTATGAGACAGAAGGGGTGTGGAAAAGAGTCACGTTTGATCAAACTGATCCTCGTTACAGCCCTGTCCGACTTCACCTTGATGAATCTCACCAAACCTCTGGCCCAAAGTCATGAGGAAAATGACTGTCAAGAAAATGTTTTAATGCAGAAAAACCTTGATCCATCAAATTAACTTCATTTTCTTAATGCAATATGTTTCCGGGTTTTTTGTTGTTGTTGTTTTTTTGGCGTGAAAAATAAGTACATGATATGCGGGGGAAAATATGAAGAGTTCATTTGCAAAAACCGATAAACGCCACTTAAAAAAGAGCTGATTGCCGTGCATTATTCTCCACATATAGCGCAATCTGAACCCTAAACACGTTTTGACAAAAAAGCCGGTTTTGTCCACTTTCAAGGCATCACGAGTTCACATTTCACTGCAGAAGCCGACAAGCGCCCTTGTTGTTTTTGAACAGAAGCCGATAAGTCGATTTCAGCGAATCAGCGTGCTGTATTCAGGTCAGGTGACAAGGCTACTTTCACTTAGAAAAGACGTGCTAGGCTAGCTGAGAGGAGTTTCGTCAAAGCTGACTAAACGTGATCGAGGATCATTTCGACGAACTTGATGAAGCTGTGATATCTTCTTCAGGGCGAAAAAGTAAAATAAAAGCTGAAACGTATTCACGGGAGCTTGCAAAAGCAGCGCATTACACTGATGAGGGAAAAGCTCAGTGTATTGCGTGTAATCACATCCATACAGTTTATGATCACAACAACAACAACGTTTGTCAGGCGTCTACATTCTCATCTGAGGAGATTACAAAGATTCAACCAGTTTCTAAAACATGAAATGCGGTTATCTACTTTTGCTATAAAACTAACTTTTCATATGTAAAAAAAACAAAACATACTTTCAATGAACTTTAATTTTGTAAATTACCTGTATTTGTTTAAGTTATTACTTAATCAAAACCCAACTGCAGTTTGATTGAGATGAGAGAAAGTAACGAAAAATAACATAATGCATTACTTTCCATAAACAAATATCGAAGTAATGCAATTAGTTACTTTTTTAGGGAGTAACGCAATGTTGTAATGCATTACTTTTAAAAGTAACTTTCCCCCCAACACTGTATGTGTATGCATATATATATATATATATATATAATTTTTTCTGGGGTTGCCTTCCCAAAGAGAAAAGTGCAATAAACCGTAATAAATAAAGTGGGACTTTAAAGCATATCTGCATTTAACATCTCAAGTGCAAGAGGAGCTAATGAAAAAGACATGTATCTTAAATTAAAGACTTTGGATTATTTAAAACATGAATTTGTATCACTGTGAAATATAAGATTTCCTTTGATGGTCATGCAAAGTATGATCAATGTTGCGTCTGTTAATGTTTAATATGTAAATAAGAAGAGGGAACACTTTCATTTTCAAGACAGATGTTTGTATGGTAATACTGTGAACCAGCCTTCAATTTCTTAAGAAGAAGAAATGTAGTTTGTTGTTAAAGATTTTTTTGTATTAAAATATATTTCCAGCATGTTTGTCTGGTTGTGTTGTTTGAAGGTACAGTAACATGAATCGGTCCTCGAGCACAGCAGCCGTGAGGCGGGGACCGGTTCTGTTACTTTCAGAGAACACAGTATTCTCATGAGGGTGGGGTATTGTTATTGAGTTACAGCTTATTGTTAGCTCCTCAGACAAGTGGCCGTCCCTCCCCAGGGTTCAGACGTAATAAAGCAAATACACTTGCAGAAGCATGACAAAGCTGTTTGATGACAGAGGCTTCACCGTTGAAGTACTGTAGTTCTGCTGAACTCAATATAACCGGCACAACAGCATATATATATATATTATTATTTTTTTTCATTTTTTTTTTTTCAAACAATGTGACCAATTATTTAGTTTGGTTTTACTCCAGCAATGAAAACAATTCTAAAAGAGTTCTATAAAGCAAAAGCATTTGAAAACTTCAGCACTGGTCATATTAGTATTACATAAGTCATGTACTACATAATATTGCATTTTTTGTTAATACTTTTTCAAACACAATACATTTTGTGTGGAGAGAAAAAAAGTGGATTGTGAGTTGTGAATTATTTGATTAGCTTTAGTCTAAAGCACAACAGTTTTGATCAGTAGCTTTGCTTCCAGCTGTTAGAATGATTATTATTCACTTTTAACCTTTGTAGCATTTGAATCATTATTGTATTAAATAATCTGAAGACATTTTAACTGCTTAGATAGCATGGTGTTGTGACCCAACACCGCTTTTATTTTAATCCTAAATGTATTTATTAATATACATACAGTATAAAGACACCAGATTGAGCAGTTTCTGAATTAAAAAGATCTTATAAACATTATGGTGCACACTGACCCCTTGTGGGTAAAAAAGAAGTGTATTTTATTAGCAGTCAAAAGACATGATGAACATAAAGGTTCTCTCTCCTCCTGCAGCTGCCAGTTATGGTAAATAATAAAATAGCTATATTATATAATAGTTAACCCTGTAAAGACTAATATGTGAAGGTTTAATGGAACATTTTATTGACCTTTAGATAAAATACTAGGGGGAAAAATCTAGAAAATGAAGCACACATTTGATGTTGAGTATCATATTTGATGCATTCGGCTTTTATTGCTCATATAATATTATATAGTGACAATATGGAACTCATACTCGAAAAGGAGTAAAAAAAAAAGTAGTGCAGTTGCTGATGTTCATATGGCCAAAAAGTAAATCTATTAGACTACTTATGTCAGTATAAAAGAAAAGAAAAAAAATGGAAATAACAGGAGAGACTCCTTTGCTTACTCTACAAATCAATTACTCGTTATTGAAAGTTAGGGTTAGTTCAGTATGGATATAATGTAATATTATTGCAGCATTGGTCATCTATTTTGTACATTGTAAGTGGAATTCTTAATAATAATATACAGGTAAGATTAACACAAACTTAAATTAATATTTAATTTCCACATATTTATGTATTTTGTGGTTAGCCATATAATAAGCTCAACATCAGGGTCCGGATCACCCTGCCTGGGTTAGTTCTGTGATATTGACAGGCTAATTATATTATCTCTAGCATATTAAATTCCACAGAGACGACCTAGCTGTACTCCTGTGTATACATGCGTCTCTCCAATCACCATGACGTCAGTGAAATTGCATATGATGATAGATCTGAGCACTGAAATTCTGGATGAGTTGTTAATTTCACCACAGACAGTTAGAAAATTACTAGCATTAAAACAAAATAATCACCAGTTTGTTGGGGGAGGGGTTAGCTGTGGTGACCACCATATAGCTCCGCCCCTAGATGAGAGTAGGATTAAGATTAAAGTTATACAGGTCATTAAAGTGTTGAGTGAATAAACACGTTTTCTGTTTTCTTTATTTTTCATTCCTTTGCTACATAGAAAGTGGGGAGGACTCTGTAGGAATGGAGAGCCAGATGGAGGACAATAGAAGACATCAGGCTGGTAGAGGATCACTAGAAGGTACTGGGGCTGGTGAGGGCCACCAGAAAACATTGGGTCTGTTGAGGGTCTCTAGAAGACACTGGAGCTGGTGAGAGTCACCGGAGGACAGTGGGGCTGGTGAGGATCACTGGAAGACACTGGGGCTAGCGAGGGTCTCTAGAAGACACATGGGCTGGTAAAGGGTCACTAGAAGGTACTGGGGCTGGTGAGGGTCTCTAGAAGACACATGGGCTGGTAAAGGGTCACTAGAAGGTACTGGGGCTAGCGAGGGTCTCTAGAAGACACATGGGCTGGTAAAGGGTCACTAGAAGGTACTGGGGCTGGTGAGGCTCACTGGAACACACGGGGGCTGCTAGAGGATCACTAGAAGGTACTGGGGCTGGTGAGGCTCACTGGAACACTCTGGGGCTAGTGAGGGTCTCTAGAAGACACATGGGCTGGTAAGGGTCACTGGAAAGCACTGGGAATGGCAAAGGGTCACTAGTAGGCACTGGGGCTGGTGAGGGTCACCAGAAAACATTGGGTCTGTTGAGGGTCTCTAGAAGACACTGGAGCTGGTGAGAGTCACCGGAGGACAGTGGGGCTGGTGAGGATCACTGGAAGATGGGGCTAGTGAGGGTCTCTAGAAGGCACATGGGCTGGTAAGGGTCACTGTAAAGCACTGGGAACGGCAAAGGGTTACTAGAAGGCACTGGAGCTGGTGAGGGTCACTGGATAACACTGAGGTGGGTGTGGGTCACCAGGAAACACTGTGGTTGGTGAGTGTCATCAGAAAACAGTGGAACTGGTGTAGGTCACTGGAAGACACTGGGACTGATGAGAGGCTCTAGAAGACCAGAGGACTCTGGAGCTGCTGAGAGATGCTAACAGGTTCAAGACAGACAGGACAGATGCTGATGTTGACTCGGCTGACTCTAAAGCTTGTCATCTTTAATCAATTAGTGACTTACAGTCTAATCTTCTTTAACAAATGGCTTAAATGGTTCTATTTCTAAGCATTTTTTGACCACAATGTGTCATATCCATGGCTCCTCCCACCATCTATTCTTCATTGGGTTCTCTGGTCTACTGTCCTTCACCAGCCCCTCGTCCACCTCCAGAAACACCTCCTCAGTTTACAGTTTACAGCATGCGGCCATGCCTTCCCGGAGACAGTGTTATGTCACAGTTATGTTCTGTTTTGGTTATGTTTCTTTGTCTTTTGCTTCTGTCTTCCCTGACCTAGTTTTCTTATCATTATATTGTGACCTTGTTAATGATCCCATTAGTTCCCTCTTTTTAGTCTCCTAGTTTGGTTCAGTTCCTTTGTCTGGTGTCATCAGTGTTTTGGTTGTGTTTACTTGCTTGCCTACGTTTGGATCTACCTGTTGATAATATTAAAGCCTATTTTGGAAATTTACCTTCTTCATCATACTCATCTCTCCAACCAATTGTGACAATATTAGTGCAAGTAATCGTCTCAGGTTAAGTATGTAACCATGGTTCCCTGAGTAGGGAACTAGACACTACGTCCTTTAGGGGTCGCTATAGGAAACCTAGAGGACGCAGTTCAAAGTTCCCTTGAAAGGGAACGTCTCAGGTTACGTATGTAACCATGGTTCCCTGAGTAGGGAACAAGACACTGCATCCTCTAGGTTTCCTATATCGACCCCTAGAGGACGCAGTTCGAAGTTCCCTTGAAAGGGAACTTAGTATTTCATATTATATGAAGTTTTATTATTATTATTATCCACAAGTGATGTGTTGCCATTGCCATATACCAAAATATAATTTCTGCCTCAATAGTTCAGATCATCAAAATAAGACTTTTAAGAGCTTTGCCAAAATGGGTCACATACGAAACATCCAATATTTCATATTTCTGATGTTCAGTACTATGCAAAAGTCTTAGACACATTAGGATTTTTTTTCCTTGAACAAGGAGCCCTACAACAGATCATCAACACATCATCGAGACAGTCTGGAATCAGAAGCAACTGAGACAGACTTAATCCATAGGAGATCTGAATTGCATCTCCAAAATGCGCCAAATCTTACTGCAGATCAGCACTGTGTAAACCTGTAAACACTTTATGCTTTAAAGTAAGGATGTTTTGAAAAATAATGACAGAAACAGATTTGATCAAATATAAGGAAGGTCCATCATTGCACTGCAGATGTTGGACAGAAGCTGCATCTGAAGAGGCATTTAGATGCATTTATTGCAGACTGTTTGATGTAGCTCATACTTCTGGCTCATAAAATGAGGAATTGGGGACACAGGTGGGTTAGTTTTTTATGCCTCTATATTTGCATATACGGCAATATGTTGCACTTGATTAGGACTAATGTAGTACACAAACCCCTTTTTCTGCACTGTTGTACAGATGTTAAGAGCGTCTCGTTTCCTCTCACTTCCTCTCTTTATCACTGCTCTGGTGCAGAATGCTAGGTAACAGTAGCATGAACTGTAAAATTTTTGCAACCGCACCGTAACATTGTCTAAGAGTTTGTTGTACAGGTGGTGTTTAGGGCACTTTTAGACCACTTTTATGATACATTTATGGTGTTTTTGTGTTCTTTTTGAAGTTTGATGCTTCTGCTAATTGCAAGGCTGTTTTTATAATTTCTCCTATTGTGTCCCATAGAAGACAAAGTCATGGGGATTTGGAATGAAATGAGGGTGTGTAAATGATGACAAAACAGTCGTTTTGAAGTGAACTATTCTTTTAACTCACTGCTGATGTGTGGGTTGTGATAGCATGGTTTATGCTCTAACTTGCTGGGCAAGAGTATCAAGTCCAAGTCAAGTCTAGTCAGAGTTCAGAAACACTAGGCTAAAAAATAAAGCAGATATCCCACAAAGAGCACGTGCCAAAAAAACGGCTATCTTGTGTTTTGCAGCATGTATCATCTGACATGTTATTACATGTAATCCAATTCTAAATATTATTAAAAGTTTAACAGAATGGCATTTTGGCATTACGTCAAAGTCATCTACGGATTAAGGTGCTTCATTGTCATGACACGTCATTCTCACATACATGTCATAGCTATGACTGCATGACTCAATTTCAATAAAAGAACAGTAATTCGCTGCTTCACTGAATCTATTAAAGTCTGATAACAAAAAAAAAACACCTGATATAATTGAAAAAAAAAGATGGAAAAAAGCCATTGGCCATTATTTTTAGTGTATAAAAACAGTGTGTGTGTACATACATACACATATATATATATATATATATATATATATATATATATATATATATATGCACAGTGGGTATAGAAAAGAATCACCCCCCCTTTAAAATAATCACATTTTGTTGCTTTGCAGCCTGAAATGAATATGGTGTCACAGAGTCAACTTCATCAGCTCCAGATACTCACGCCCTGCCTGTTCATTCCCAATCACCTGAGTTTTGATCCCTGACACCCTATTTAAATTAGAGCTTCACGCTCCCTCATTTGTCTGGTCTTGTCATTTTCTAATGAACTTCTACCCGACTCTACCTTGTTATCCAGCCTGCCAGCCAGTCCATCATTCTCCAGCTCGTCTGTATCCTGCATTCTCTCATTGCTCATTCATTGCATACCTGCCAAATAAATCTCCTGTTCTTGCTATTTAGTCTCTGCTGTTGTGTGACGGAAGATCAGACCAATGATGCAGTACGAGGCAGGCACCAGCGATACAACTAACCCTGCATCTGATCCCTTCACGGATTTAGTTCAAGCCCTCCATCAAGCACTTCAGTCACCGGTCCCAATTACTCCACCATCTGCCTTCACCAGTCCCATGGCCCGGCCAACAGTTTACACCGATAAAGCAGAAGAGTGCAGCAGTTGCCTGCTACAATGCTCACTGTATGAAATGCAATGAATGCTAGTTCCCTCTCACCGCCGGATCAACTCTATCATCTCTGCTAAGGGAAGTCATCTGTCAGCGATTATGCACTTCAATTCCGCACTCTGGCTGCCATCAATGGGTGGAACGAAACCGTGCTCACCCAAGAAACACCCCGTCTGCCAAGCCTGTCACCATATGCTGTTGAGAGTTCAGCCACCTCCATCCAGCAGGAGATCCCCCAGGAATACAGGGCATTCCAGGATGTTTTCAGTAAACAGCTGGCTACCAAAATTCTGCCTCACCGGCAAATGAAACTGCTCCATCGATCTGCTGCCTGGGGCTACCCTTCCACGTGGCAAAATCTATCCACTGTCCATCCCAGAGCAAAAGGCCATGTAGGAGTATATTGAAGAGGCTCTAAAGCAAGGATCAGTCCATCGACCACGTCCACCGCTTCTTCTTCATGGGGAAAAAGGATGGAGGCTTGCAGCCTTGTATAGACTACCAAGCCTTCAATGCCCAGACAGTGAAGTTCAAGTACCCTCTTCCTCTGGTCCCAACCGCACTGGAACAAATCAGGGGGCACTACGAATATCTGGTCATGCCGTACGGGCTCTCCAACTCCCCATACGTTTTCCAGGGATTTATGAATGAAGTGTTCTGGGAATTCCTCCACCGCTTTGTCATTGTTTACATCGATGATATCATCATTTATTTCCAGAACATGGCTGAACATTGTGACACAGTTCCTCAGGAAACTACGCCAAGAACATCTTTACCTGAAGCTCTAGAAGTGTTAGTTTCACCAAACCACTGTCAACTCTCTCGGCTATGTCATCATTTGGAACGGCATCTGTATGGACCAAAGGAAAGTGCAGGCAGTTGAGGGCTGGCCGCAACCCACTTCAGTTAAAGAACTTCAGCGTTTTGCCAATTTCTATTGAAAATTCATCAAAAATTTCCCCTCTCACCTCTCTACTGCGCAAGGGGCCCAAGGCTCTGTCCTGGACTACGGAGGCCATGTCCACATTCCATCAGCACAAAGAAGCCCTCTGTATCGCTCCCACCCTCATTCATCCCAATCCTAGCTAACCATTCATAGTTGAGGTTGATGCCTCCACCACCAGTGTAGGAGCTGTTCTCTCAGCAGCAGGGTGAGCCTCCTGGTCTCCATCCATGCGCCTACTACTCTAAGAAACTATCCCCTGCGGAGCGGAATTATGACATCGGGAACCGCGAACTGCTAGCGATCAAGTTGGCTTTAGA